CTTTTTCTTTTAGTTAATCACCTCCACAGTTCATTTCAAACTTCGCCTGACTGTGATAAAACGAGTGTTCATGCGCGACCGATAGCTAATCGAGGCCCGGCGATTCAAAATTAAGTCCAATTTTCTGTAGTTGGTATTCACAGTTGAAGGGAACCATTGATTTGGATTGACCCTTGAGTTCACGCATGAATTTTTCTCGTGACGCTCTTTGTTATCCGAACGCGTGAATGCTCTATTGCAGTAGCGGCAAAGGTGTGGCATTATCCGATCAGAAGTTTAACGGGGTAATACGACTCATATTTCGTGTCACAGCGATACTAATGAAAAAATGTAAGATTCTCTACTTTTTATGCATTATTGTCTCACCACATTCCCTAACCTATTACCGCCTCATAAACCACTAACACCCTCTTCACCCGTGTGTAAGATATCTTTGTTCTCGCTAGATTTTGAGAATGTGTCTAACTTGGCGAAGAGTTGATCGTATTTTTTCTGTAATTCAACCGATTCAGTTTTCACCCGTGTGTGGAGAGATATCTTGGGTGTCTTTTCTTTCCTGCATTCCAATACTTGTCGCTCACTTTGTCGCTGTTGCAGCAAGGATTGATATTGTTCTTTGTGTGCAGCAAGATTCTTTTCAACCTCTTGAATCGCTTGATCTAAGACCGTACATTCTACTTGATGGTATGCTTCATTGAAACGTTTTTGAGCTTCAGGACTTTGCATCTTAGGGTAACTTTTCCTTGATTTCAATCTTTGGAAATCGTTCTATTCTCAGCATGTTTTTTATATTCTTTCAACACATTTTCCTGATACTTTACGCGAGCATGAACAGCATGCATTTTTTGTCGATACGACTTTAGAACCGCGGAAAGAACCGCGGAAAGATCCTGAGTACTCGCCATCGTGCGCACTCTCCGTGAGCAGGTAAGAAATGAGTGTGAAGGTAGACACTTCGAGTTTTATCATATTGTATACATCCTTCACCGTTATGTATAACAAACTTTAAAAGAACGCGCACTTTGAAATATTAATTATAATAATTCAAAGTGCGCGCTCATATGGAACCAAATGTTTATTTTTCTTATATACGAAACGAAACTGTCCATTTCGTTCATGTGGGATGGTATATATTCTATTCTTCTTCCTCCCCCTCATTCCTCCTCTTCATTCCTCCTCCTCTTTCCTCCTCCTCCTCATTCTCCCTCCTGAATCCTCCTCCTCGCCATTCCTCCTCCTCTTTCCTCCTCCTCAATCCTCCTCCTCTTTCCTCCTCCTCGTCATTCCTCCTCCTCTTTCTTCAAATAATATAATTTGTTCTTCACATTTACTCACTCGTTCTAGTCATTTTATTCCTCAACTTTACTCAGTTCTTGGGACTAATATAAACTCGCTGTAAGACATTACCACTAACAAATGTGACAGTTTAAAACAGTTTATTAAAGTGATAGATCATTCTATGTACACTCTTTCTTTCTCTTCCTCTTTCCTGCTCCTGCGCGCGCGTCCAGAATGCGGTCGCGTAGCCACTGTGGCAATTTTTCCACGTTTTAGTCATTTTTCGTCACATGTAAAGCAAGTCCATATCATATGAGCTAAATAAGTCTTTGGATTATGCTCCTTGTAATTCTTCCAATCGCTTTACCACATATAGATGTCGAGGTTCAGTGAAAAACGTTCTTGTATATAGGTACTTGCTATGTTGCCTCTCTTTTACCGCTTTTATTTTGTGTTTAAACGGAGTATCCAGGAACGGTGTTATTGTATTGATCTTCTCTTCGACTTCTATGTAGGGATGGACTTCAGTGAGATACACCACTTGTCTGATTGGATGAAATAGAACTTTCTTCATCATAACTTTGGTCCTATGTATGATCATACCATTCCGACTCATAGCCACTCTTATACACCCATTACTAGATTTTCTTTGGTCTATCATTGATTGACACATGTACTACTTCGGAAACAATTTGGACAGACAGGTCATTGACTTTGATCCCAAAAAGTGTAAAGATGCTATGACTTGATTAAAATTTGATGGACAGATAATAATGAGACTACCTACGTTACAACGCCTGCTGGCATCTACGTATTTTCGTCCGGTTAGTCTGTGCTATGGTTCATTTTTCCCGAGAAATGGGAGTGTTCATGAGCATGGTGCTGCGTTTTTGAATACCCTTTTTGTTCGATTTTTTTCTGATAATATTTTAATGTATGAAACCGGAGATTTAATTATTTCTCTTCGAATCATTGTCATTGAATTGCGTCGATGTATCGTTGTTATTTTGTCTTCCTCACTTGCAGAATTTTGTATAGAATTTTTTCTGTCCTGTTTAGAACAATATGAAAGACCTTTGGGTCTAGCTCTCCCCGGGGGTCCTGGCCAGCCACGAGGACAAGCATTGAAACCAGCTTTGGAGTGGCACATTTTCAAAGCGGATGAAACGATGTCTTCCATCATTTTCCTAATCTCAACCGAGTTATTGAAATGGGATGGATGTGAAATACCACGTTTCTGTCGATGGACTTTAATCTCGCTAGAGGTGGTGTGAAGGACTAAAAAATATATCAACTAACCAAAGAGTGTAACCTCATGACATGAAAACGATTTAAGATACAATTATAAACACAAGAAGCTAAAAAAAATTTGATCGGAGCGAAGACAGAGAGTCCTTTCCAGTTATCAAAAGCGACGCAAAATAATATTAGATTCAACCCCTTGTCAAATGGGTCATGTTTTAATCTTGACTTGATTTCTCCACAAACACAATTATTTCAAGGATTACGCATAACAAGAAAGTAAATTAGTTTTAAAGCTTTATGTTCGCAAAGAGACTTGAAGAGAGCTTCGATTTCTCTTTGACAGTGCAATGGGCAACACATCAAATCTGTTTTTTCAATTACTGCCATTTAATAATAGTGTACTGCTAATCTTCAGAGCCTCTGCTTTTTAATCCTTGGCAGGTCTCCAACTTATTTCGTAATGAAAATGAGGGACAAGATATTATGTAAAGCACATCCTTTACATAATTGTTCTACGTTGTGAGATATATGGAAGTGTCGATATTTCAGTGGAAGGAAGATAAATCTACCGGTCGACATTGCCTATCCTAGCAGTATGCAGGCAGGGAGTCAAATATGAACTTCGTAATGAGCCCTGCTCACCATAGAGTCTCTGTACTTGGCTCAGTGGTAGAGCATCGGAGCGTAGAATCCGAAGGTCTGAGGTTCTATTCCTCATGGCGACTCAGGATTTGATCTTTGTCCCACGCTCGTGACAAGACGAAAAAAATCTTTCTAAGATAAATCTGGCTCAAATTATTTCATTGTGCTGGAACGGAAGTCGGAGGACATGACCATTAGCTCTCGGATAACTTTGATGAAAAGCTTAATCGTTTAATATTTGAAAGTAACTCGCGACCTTAATAACTTTAAAGGAGAATGACTAGCAACAAAACAGACAACCCTGTTTGGACAGTTGAACATTACCTGGTTCAGTCGGAGCAAAATCCGTCCTTCATTGCATCTTTTGATTTTCAGGCATGCATTCCTCCAAAGTCTTCAACCTTCGTTCATAATCCTTGAACTTGGTCTCAGTTCGAATGAATCCAGTGGAATAAAAAAGCAAATAGAAAACTCTCAGAGCTGTGCCGGAGCTTATTGGAAAAGAACGGTCGTTGAGAGACATCACGAGAGCTGCATGATCGAACTTTCTCGAAAGCAGCTTTCACAAAACGTTGCTAAAACCTTATACTGCCTAAATTAATTTAATATTGCCTTAAGGTCAGTAGGCCAGAGCCCTATTTGATAGCTAGAAAGACGTCATGGTTTAGAGACGCTACGTTTGTTTGTAGTATGATCTGTTTTTAAAAGTACTTGATCTGTTTTTAAAAGTACTTGACTAGAAAGACGTCATGGTTTAGAGACGCTACGTTTGTTTATAGTATGATCTGTCTTTAAAAGTACTTGATTTGGTTTTAGGCGGATTGATCAATTCAATACTTGGAGAGACTGTGTAGTTAAGATTCTGAGCCAAATTGGCTTACGGAACACTTCGCTTGCTCATCATACGTAACCTCCCATATTCT